CAGACAACAAGGAATTTGACAAAGATGGAGCGCACTAACTTCGAAACTCTAATTACCATACATGTACATCAACGGGATATTTTTGACATACTGGTGAGGGTGCCAGCCATACGTGCGGCACTTTGCCTGAGCTTTAAGAATATTGTTCTATTGAATTCTATATACATATATAATGTGTGTGTATATATGTATGTCTTTATAGTGTCGCATGAATATTAAGTCGGCAAACGACTTTGAGTGGCTGAAGCAGTGCCGTTTCTATTTCAAAGAAGACCTGGATAAAACCTGGATTTCCGTGACGGACGTTACTTTTACTTATCAAAATGAGTACCTGGGCTGTACAGATCGTTTGGTGATCACGCCGTTAACAGATCGGTGAGCCTATGAAGAGGGAGTCCGATGAAATATATGTATCTGACTATTTATATTTTGATTTTAGCTTAAAACTTTATTTCTTAAAACATCTCCGAAAACATAATTAGAAGCTTTTGACCTTTTTCATTAAGAACCCCTAAACACATTTGATACGGCTGATGTGCATTTCCGAGTCTTGCCTAGACGTATTTTTCATTGGCTATTTCGTTCTGGTCAATATTGACATATTCAGGAGCCAAGTAGATAGACGTTGGCGACGCCCGACATTTCAAAACAATTCTTGACTTTACTACTTTGAATCCTAATGCTTTCAATACCGCTTGACTGTCAACGAATACAGTGTTTTCCCTGCAGAGACTTATTATTCCGTATAAGGCAAGCAATCTTCTCTTTGGCAGGTGATTTGATTGTCTGATCTGCAGACCCTCCGGATGGAGAGGGGCGCCAACTTCTCCTTAAGCGGAAGCCCCAGCAGCACATCTTCATAAGTCCGCCGTGTTACCGTTATGACGTTCTACTTAAAATTTACTGAAGATAATCCCGTACTAAAGCATGTACCACAATTTAATCTTCCTTAATCTAGGATCCTTAATTGCGTCTGCAACAGTTACAGATACTTATGCCGGATTTAAATGAAATATATTCTAACGCTTTTTGTGGTGAACTGCTCACAGCCGTTAGCAGGCAAGTCTCTGCACTCATTCGATTACTTTCGGATAGTTATTTTTTCCCAGTGCTTTCCGCAAAGAGCAAGGCTTTTCCCAGTTTCCTTCTATGTATGTAATATGCTACTAGTTCTATCTTTGCTTTCTGTTCGAAGCTACGCTTGGAATCAAGTATAAAACCTGCAAACGTATTTTATGTCTCATGGGATATGTATGTATTCTTAGTTTTACAAAGATACTAGGGCTGTTCAGGATGTTGTGTAAATTGTCTTGGATTTGCAGTTGGAATTGCATTTGCAAATTTTATGCTTGCTGCCATGGCACCCGTGTGCATTTTATTGTCGTGAATTTACAAATGCAACGAAAATGCAAATCCAAGAGCATATGTACAACAATCTGAAAAGCCCTAATCAATTATCTACAGCGGGAAATATAGATATTTGAGCTTTAAGCTTACAAGCACCTGCCGGCGGCGCATTTAGCCAAACTTTATAATTAACTATGTCAAGAAATTTATTATTATTGTAACGCAGTTCATTTCCACCAAGCCTTAACTGCAGTTTATGTCTATTGGAAAAGGAGACTACAACTCGAAGCGGATAATTGTTTACCCCATGTTAACGTTATTTGCACTTACCTGAGCTCTTAACTGTAGTCAATCTCTCGTTGGAAAAGGGTTTTTAGATATGTATTTTATGACAAGGAATGTGGCTTCCGAATGGGAAAAATAGGTTAAAAGTACATACCAAATAAATGTGAAAAAAACGCGATATTTTTAGTAGCTCGCCGTTCAAGATTACGTTACTTAATGGCATTTTCGTTTCTACAAAAAATGTTGGCTTCTCATTGCCCTCTTCTTAGTATTTGTGCGTAGAGGGCAAAGAGATGGCAACCTTTTGTTTGGTAGAAACGAAAACGCCATAAGTAATACATTTCCATACACAATTGATTTTAAAATCATCAAAGCAGCCCTGAGTCTTTTTACATACCCTGCAGGGAAGCCAGTCAATACACACACAATACCAGTAGGCCAACTTCTAAAACTACTTAAACTATTTCATAAGTAGACAATAGATAGAAGACGAACTATTTGAGCCGCAAAGCAAACTGTTCTAAATTAGTAGCTCCTCCCTGCTGGGTATATACATACATACATACATATGTACATATGCACAGTAGCACATTCATTTGCCTTTGGTACTGCATTCGAATTTACGAAACATTCCGCCGAAAATGACTTTAATTTTCTTTTCAATTTTCGTCCCCGACACTGTTTGCTTCGCTTAATTGGATGCTGCGGAATGTTGTATAAAGCTGCTACATCACGCTTGCCCAGGCGCTTACCCTGAGCATGGGCGGGGCGCCATGTGGACCGGCGGGTACGGGCAAAACGGAGACTGTTAAGGACATGGGCAAGACGCTGGCTAAATACGTGGTTGTATTTAATTGCTCCGACCAAATGGATTACAGGTATTAAAATGTAGTAGCGCAATAAATTTCGCATAATCCGTAAGCTAATACAATATATATATCTACAGATAAATAAATGCCAGGTAAATATGGGCATGGCGACCTACGAGTTATGCGCCATCAATTAAAGTGCTGCTCCCGGATGCGTGTATATCTGTGTTTTAAAGCTTTAATCGATTAAGTCAACAAACAAGCTTTGGTATATAATGCCGCATTCACGCAACACTATTTGAACAAAATTATCAAATGGATGTGTAATTGGTAGTATTGATACTGGAAAATCTCCTCCAGTATTCGGATGGAACCTCATTGAAAAATCTTTGGAGTTTATTTAAAATAATCAAATGGTGGTTCACAGTAAAAAAAAACCCTTTTGACTTAGGCGGTTATTGCTTTTAACCACAGATATTTAGTTATTAGTATTGCAGTTGTCGATCTCTTGCAGAAATAAACAAAAAAATAATTTTTTAACCACTTTTCTTATTTATTTTACCATTTTCGTTGCTTAATTTATTTATCTTTGCATTTTTTAGAGGCTTGGGCCGCATTTACAAGGGTTTATCACAGTCCGGCACCTGGGGCTGTTTCGACGAATTCAACCGCATCGAACTTCCGGTGTTGTCGGTGGCGGCGCAACAAGTTGCCGTTGTACTGACGGCCAAGAAGGAGAAAAAGAAAACATTTATCTTCACCGATGGCGATACGATTGAGATGAATCCTGAATTTGGCATTTTTATAACAATGGTAAGTAAGTGCGCGTGGCGGCAAGTGGGGTGTGGCAGTGGCAGTGAATGTTGTTTGTAGCAAACAGGTTGCCGCCGCAAATGGCTGACCTACAAAAACAAAGTTTTAATTATGGCTCGACATAGTTCGGCGACAAAGTTTCAACGTTGACAAAGTTTGCGATTTAAATTCCAGTAAATCGTGTCTCATTAAAAGCAAAATGTCCACATTTTGCTGTTTACAGCCGGTGGGTTGCCCAAATGACATGCTACACCGAATTTCTTTCCTCCTTTAAGTTGAATTAATATGTATGTATGTATGTATGTATGTACATATACAAAGTGTGGAAAGAACGGTGCTTCATTGTCTTCTTTTGGCATTGACATTGAGAAAGTGACCGTGCACAGTGGGACGTCCCCATATAAGCTGCGGCCAAAAGTAGTAACCGTACTAGAAATTCGCTGAAATGTCGTATATGCGCTGTTCGGCACTTAGGAATGAAGAAATGTGGAAAATGGTAAAATTCAACGCTCTACTACGCCCACAGCTCATGTGGGCGGATATAGTAAATGTTATCCGATTTTGATGAAATTCAGAGCATATTATTCTTATTACGGCGCCCAACTTCCACACAAGTTTGTTGGCTCCAAGTACTAAATTTTATGAAAATGGACAGGCACTTCTATATAATTTCTAAAGAAGTTCCTATTTCTTCATTTCAAAAATGACAAAACGAAAACATTTACAATACTTGCATACTAAATTTATGCACGATATGTATTTACACTGAAACATTCAATTTTACCTACATTTTATACAACAAAGGCAGAGCTAAGGCCAGCAGGACTCTTGCCATCGAAAACGGATCTCGTCCAGATAAGCGTCCATTTTTGGCTGAATGTTGAATGTGATTAATAGATTGGCGAGTCATTTATAACCACAACTTCTTCAATTTCCATTTTATATTGCATATTATTTATTTTATGTACACGGCAGAGTCTTTCCCTTCAGCTGTATAATAAAAATGCAATAAATTTTACAGGAGGTGGGTCCCTAAAAAGAAGAATAGAAGCTGAACTCGCAGTTCCTCGCAGCTGCAACTATTTGAGATAATGGTTACTTTCTTAAGTACAATTTAGCTCGCTTCCTAGGTCCTCTTGAAATATCCCTTTTGAAATTAAGTACTCGAAAAATTGTATACTCAGAAACTTATGTAAAATTTCAAAGTAAACTATTTTATACATTTCAAAAGATTTATCAAAATTTTAAGGCACATTGGCTTTTTATATATGCTCACAAGTGGAAAAATTAATTTAATTTACTTGTGACAAAATCAAAATTTTTTCTTACAAATTTATTTTTTCGCATTGTTCACACTTTAAGCTCATGTCATGATTGCAAATATGCATTTTTATCAAAAATAATTTTTGGTTTGGCATTGCTGGATATTTTGCTATGTATCTGCGTAATTACTTTTTCAGAATTCGCTAACCCGTTTTTACTACTTTTGGCCGCTGTGCGGTGTGGCTGTGGTTAAAATGTATTCGAGTAGAAATTAAATTCAATTAAAGACAATTTGACGTCAAACTTTCAAACGTCAAAATTTTCTGGAGAGTAAAAATGAGAAAGAGTATGTGAAATTAATAAGAAAAATTTACATTTCACTGGCTGACGTTTTTAAGTAAATTTGAAGTTCATTTTTTATTTAACGAAATATGGGAAATAAAAATAAATCAAGTTTAAGTTTAAAGGTTTGGTTCTCATGAGAGCAACGTCAAAATGGCTTTTACCTGTTTTTATGTACCTTGCGTCTGTGTAGCTTGCGTCGTTTTTCACCATGGTACAATAATTACAGGTATTGTCCATGGTTGCCACTCGCCAACATTTTTTTATACCAAAATCTCTTGAGAAAAGTTACCAAAACTTACCAAATCTTCACTACCAAAATCTGCACTTCTTCACCGAGAAAAAAATATACTGAATAAAACTACTATATTTCTTAAAAAATGTTTGTATACTTACAGCCAGTTTCTGTGACTTAATAAATTCAATATTTTTATAATTTGTAAATTTTTGATTATTTATCAAGAATTCACAGTTCTAGTACAGAAGTTTAAATCTATTTTCTTGATAAATTATCAAGATTGAAAATGCCATTGACAATTATAATAATTTTTTTTATTAGAAAATAATTTGCTATCAATTAATTATTGCATGTGCCGTTATTCTCATTCTCGTTGTTGGTGTTTCCGACAGGGTAGGTAATGTGGAACGATTTTCCATCATCCCTTGTCAAATTTGGTTTGGAGACAAACCGGTTTCGGCGTTGTGCTATTTTCAGTGTAATTTTTCGTTCGGAATGTGCCGTTATTTGGACCTGCGACTCACGAAATACTGGCAACGGTATACAAAAAACAGTTGCGGGTGCTTTTAACCGTCCATTTGACTCGTACAAAATTTCGAGTAAATTGCGAAAATTGCGAAAATTGCAAATTTTTTTTGCTCTTTTTCGGTTTTTCATAATTTAGTGTACGGACCTCAGATTTCGATTCAGTGGGTCGCAATACATGTCGGTAGGTGGTTGGTATATGAAGTAGAATTTTGGAAAATGGGTGTGGCACCGCCCTTTACCCATCCCCACCAAACTCGTTGCTAACATTGCTTACACTGAAAATAAAATCTGCCTTAATGTAACGAAAACTTGCGTACATCTTACGAAATTTTTCGTCATTTTGAGCCACGAAAGTTTTAGTTGATTATACAAAACCTTTTTCGTACATACTGTTTAAGTCCCAAAACCCAAAATAAAACGCACTTTGTTTTAGTTG